GAACATATGTATTAAGTGTTTCAGTAAGCGTACAGAAGTTTGAGAGCTGTATTTCCGAACAGCACAGAGCTGATCAAAGTTCCAGCTGTAATAACAGGCCCTGTTCGGTATTAAAACATAGCCGCCAGATTGCCAGGCAAGCTCACCTCTCATACAACTAATTGGGAATGGTGTTATCCATTAATTTCCACCCTGTGCAGCTGAATAATGTGGTTGACAGATGCTAATTTTCTTAAATTGTAGGCAGCAAATGATGCATGAATATAACAGCAACACACTTTTTTAGAGGCTCTTGGTAGTCATCAGAAGGGGAATATATATAAAGTTTGATGTAATCACTACTAACTATGGCACAGTGTTAGTGCCTTCTAATGACTGCCTTAGATCCATCTGTTGTCCTTTCTTCCCTAATAACACTAATGGGGGTCTAGCAGGAATAAAACATCCCATGTGCTAGGCTAGCCAACTCTGCAATTTGTAACATTCATATGATTCCTAAGGATAAGGCTCATACAAGAATAATGACATCTAAAATCTAGCCCGTGATGGCATTATAAACATTTCATTATATATGTGTATATATGCTTCCTCATTGAATTTGTTTTTTTTTCCCCCAGTGGCTTGACACCCTTTTATTCCTTGCTTCACCTTATAATTCATTGTGTGCTGGGTGGCCCTTTGCCTTTCTTATTTATTTCAAAGTTTACATTTATTGAATGTTCCTTGTGTAAAAATCCTTTCTGTTTTGATTTATAACCACTGCATAAATGTACCCCTATTTCACAGCTGAGGAGCCCGGGGCTTGGAGAAATCCATGAATATGTGATGGGATGGGAGTCTGTGTTGGGGGCAGAATTGGCACTCAGCAGTCTGACTCTAGAGTCCACCATGACTTAGAGACGTTAATGTTCCTGTTAACTGCTAAGGATCTTGATGTCCTGTTAAACTTAGTTCAAACTCAGTTCTATAACTGATCCACTATTGACCGTCTAAAGGTCTCCTTGCAGGTTAGGATCTGTTAAGTCACAAAGAATTGAAGGCTGACAAAGCCCCTCCTCGACCAAATTCTAGCCAGGCATCTCCGAGCCCTCCTTCTCCACTAGGCGGTAACCTTGACCATTAAAGATTTGAACACCCAGTTACATAGTTTCAAACAACTCAAGGCTATATCCTCTGGATGACCCTAACTCCCTTAAAGTGCCTGCCTGAGAAAATTCAAGGCTGCCAAAAATTTGCTGTTGTTCTGGCCACCAGGTAGGATCTGTGTCTCCGTGTCTCTGTGGGAGGGTGGAATCCTCACTTCCATGATCGCCAGCTAGCAGGCAGAGCTGGCTCAATCGCAGTTCCACTGACCAACCCTTTATAAATTTTCTCTTCCATGACTCGGCTCCCTGCCCTCTTCCTCCTTTCTCCTGTTAAAACATCCAGTTACTTCTGTATAAATTGACGGTGAATTTGGTTCAAACTGGACTCTTTTTTCCCCCCTGTGGCAGTAGTTCTTACGGATTAAAATCTGTCCCTACCACTTTAAGTAGTGTCTAACTTTGCTTATCTTTGACAAGGCACACCTATGGTCTTTTTTTTTTTTTTTTTTTTTTTTTTTTTTTTTTTTATTTTTTTAACAAGGTTAGATTCATGCAAGAGGTAGCAGCAGATGAAATGTATGTGTAGCAGATGAAATGGCCTGAGGGATTTCAGAGGAGAGGATGGCATGTGTGTCCTGTTAGCTAGGTCTCTGCTTGCTGTAAACCGCTCTGTGAGAGCTAACAACAGGAAAGTGCTCAAAGTGTGGTTCCTGGTGCCCCCTCCCCTCGTGCTTTTTCTAGGTCTGTCCAGAGCAAGCATGACAAGCTTTCGGCTCGTGGGCTGCCTGCCTCCCTGATGTGGCCTCAGGAACTGCCATTACGAAGGGTGGGAGGAATATGCTCTTGGCTTGTTTGCCATGTTAGATTTTGGAGCAATTTTTTTGGTAGGAATCATTAAAACCAGTATTATATAGGGTATCCCAACACTTTTCCTTGATAGCTCAATTGATATTTCTTTCTTTTCAGATTTAACCCGTTGGAATTAATAATTATTCAAAAGTATGTATACAATTTTGGGGAGACGCCCTTTATAATACCATATAAAGAAATCAGTAGAGAATAATTTAATACACCTGCATATACCTGCCAGCCACCTCTTTCAAAGCTTAATATTTACCACATTGTTCAGCTACATTAGAAAAACTTAATATTAAAAATTATTAAAACCACAAGTGAAAACTTAATTCTTATTCCCTGCAGATAATTTTTAAAACAATGAAATGTTATAGCAATCTTTTCCCTGGACCCAATTCCCATTTTCCCTGCCAAAGAGAACAACAATTTTGCAAGAAATACTGTTCTTTACTGTAATATTGTTCAATAGTTTTCTTCATTTCTTTTGTGATCTGGCCAAGGAATCCATTGCGTTGGTTTATTTTGTTGCTGTTGGTGGTGAGAGTATATTGTTGGAGTTGTAAAGCTCTTATGATCATGTGAGTGGTGATAGTATGTTGGCTGCCTTCCATGTCCCAGGCTGTGTGCCTTACATGCATTATCTCATTTAATCTCATCTGTAAATTACTTTCTTATAAATATAAAATCATCCTCTTTTATACCTTGTTTTTCACCTTAGCATATGTGATGAATATTTTCCTGTGATAGGATTTGGGCTTCAAAGTAAGAATCCATGTTTTGCTCACTTATCAGCTGTGTGCTCTGGTCTAACTACATAACCTCACTGAGTTTTAAAGTGGAGATAATATGCCCTAGTACCCCATAAGGTTAGATGTGGCAGTGGCCAAAACCGGTTTGGCTCAGTGGATAGAATGTTGTCCTGCGGACTGAAAGGTCCCAGGTTCGATTCCGGTCAAGGGCATGTACCTTGGTTGTGGGCACATCCTCAGTGGTGGGTGTGCAGAGGCAGCTGATCAATGATTCTCTCTCATTGATATTTCTAACTCTCTATCCCTCTCTCTTTCTCTCTGTAAAAAATCAATAAAATATATATTTTTTAAAAAGATATGGCAGTGTCTGGCATATAGTAATGTCTCAGTATCTTGTAACTATTATGCTAGACTACAAATTAAACTTAAGAAGATAATCTCGTAAGTTTTATTTTTCCCATTTAAGTGCATTTCAGTAAACAAATGTTTATTGAGCATAACTAAGTGCCAGGCCCTGTGCCAAGTACTAGGAATACAGAAATGAATACCTATTTCTTCCTCTTGGGGATTATAGGGAGATAGTATAATGATTATTTTCTAGTAAAAGAGAAAAGGACTGAATTACAAAATGTTTTAGTGACCTACAGTATTTACCCTTTACACTTTTAATGATGATGCTACATTCTTCAGGAGTTCTCATAGCTACCTTGCTTGGTTTTAAAATGAAGTACCTGGGCCAGAACACTGATGAGGCCAGAATACACTCCCTCCATCACGTAAACTCTGACATTAGGTAGCTTCTGTACCTCCTATCAGGCCTCTCTCTGAAACGTGTACAAAGAAAATAAAAAGCATAGAATACAGGAAAAGACCCAGGAAGGACCAGTGGATTCTGATTACTGGAGGTTGGTATATTTTTAACATGTGATGCCCTTCAAACAGTGAGAGTTAATTCTGTGTTAAAGAAACCACTTGTTTATGTAATAATGGTTAGCATTCATAAATGCAGTTTATAATTTTCCTGTTCTTTATTAGCATCCTGCTTTTAGGATGTCTAAAGGGGGGCAGATTTCTCAAAGCCCCTATTAGTCCAGCTTTTAGTTCATGTTTCAAAATAAGACAAGGAAAATAAATTCTAGGCTTTAAATGTAACATATCCTTCACAATATGTATCTGACTGTTTTTGAGATGATGGCCAGAACCACAAATTGTAACTATTGCTGAATTTTTAATGATAGGGTTTATGCTTCAATTGATTTGCTTTATGTTTTTTGCTTGGCAAAGGTCATAACCTAGAATGTGGTGTTGATGAGAGTATGTGACAAAAATCTGTTTGTTTTTACTGGAAAATAATACCGTATTTTCCGGCGTATAAGACAACCCTCTAATTTTTACAGTTAAAACATAAGTTTAGGCCTATATTCGCTGTATAAGACTACCCCCCACTTGCAAGGCAACACCAGTTCTTTTTTTAATAGACCGCCTCTCTGACTCTGGCCAATCTGAGCAGGCTTTTTACTCGAACACAGTGTAGCTGTGCAAATAAAAATCAAATATGGCCTCTGCTTTTACTGAGCTTCAATACTATGTGAATACTCCTAACTTCATCCTAACTTCCTGAAGTCAAAAAGCCTTATTTCTTGTGCATTGATAACTGGCCTAGTCCCTGTACTAAGAAATTAATACAGTGTGAATTGGTTCAACTGTTTGACTTCCAAAGGCATGCACATATATTAGAGTTCAAGGCTGATGTGAATTGCTCAGTGAGGCTCGACTGACATTGATGTCCTGATTTATGCAAATGGATACAATTATGTGTCCCGTGGACAGGGTTGGATGACCAACCAGTGCTTCAGAGAGAGAAGCACCAGCCCCATTTCACTTTGAAAGAATTTCTTCCTTTGTTGGTCTTGATCTCCACTTTGCGGACTCTTTTCCAGATGAATCCTCAATCACTTTCCATATTAGACATTTTAAAAGTACAGTTACAACTGCGTAAGTTTATTTCTAAGATTCTGTGAATGCTTTGTTTATTACATACATCCTCAGCACATTCTGGTGGAATAGGCAGCAGTAATAAGATACTTCATTCTGCCTTGGCTACAAATGCTGGGGATGAAGCAGTACTCTTGGGTTTACCAGTATGTGGGAAACTGGGGTCAGAACTTGTCTTAATGAAAACCGTTTGCCTCTGGTTGCTTTTGGTAAATGTAGTTATAGGCAAACATGATCTAGAAGGACAATCGCTGTTGCCATGAAGGTGTAACTGTTCTGCCTGTCACTTACATTGTCTTTTCTTTCATCCCCACAGGAAGGTACCTCCTTCCTAACCCCACCGCAGGGCAGACCTGGTCAGCGTCTGCAGAGACCTCCAACCTCGTGCGCATGCGCAGCCAGGCCCTGGGCCAGTCGGCGCCCTCGCTCACGGCCAGTCTGGTGAGTGTGTCTCTGGGCTGTCTGTGGTGGGTTGGGTTTTACCCATCTTGCCGCCTCCCTACGGACTATTTTAAGTTTATTGAGTTTAAATAGATTTGAACCTACATTTAATATTAAACATAGAATTAGCAATGTGGAATTCCTTGCTTTCAGTGTGCTCATTTTCCCAAGTGCCAACCCTCCACCCCCTAACCTAATTTGGAGTATTTCAATTTTACTCTATCCCATGTCATTTATTTCAGTGTGTCATAGTATGTACCCTTTGTGAAGTGTTAATAGTTAATGTTTTTTGATTGGATTATATTTAAAATACCTCTGCTGATTACAACTAACAGTTTCAGATTTGATAATGATGCTGAGAAGTGGAAATACACATCTATTAGAACTTTCTTTTTTTTTGGGGGGGGGGGGTGACATCCTATATAATAAAGAGCTAATATACCAATTATACCGAATGAACGTCTGGACAACCATCCGAACGACCTTCTGTATGAAGCCAGGGCTATGAGGGCTGAAGCAGCCGGGGCTGCAAGGGTAGGCCCTTGCATGAATTTTGTGCATCGGGCCTCTAGTTGTTGAATAAAATTAAATAGGTTTCAGGTATAGAATTCTATAATAGATCACCTGTATATTGTATTGTGTGTTCACCAGCCCAAGTCAATCTCCCTCCATCACCACTTATCTCCGTTTTTCCCTCTTCTACCTCCTCACCCCCTTTTCCTCTGCTGATCACTCTACTGATATCTGTGTCTATGAGTTGTTGTTTTTTAAAATATATTTTTATTGAATTTTTTACAGCGAGGAAGAGAGAGGGATAGAAAATTAGACACATCGACCAGCTGCCTTCTACACACTCCCTACTGGGGATGTGCCCATAACCAAGATACATGCCCTTGAGTAGAATCGAACCTGGGACCTTTGAGTCCGAAGGCCGATGCTCTATCCACTGAGCCAAGCCAGTTAGGGCTGTGTCTATGAGTTTTGTTTTTTCTTTGCTGAATCCCTTCACCTTTATCACCCTGCCCCCAACCCACTCACCTATGATAGCTATCAGTCTGTTCTCTGATATCTGTGAGTCTGTTTCTGTTTTGTTTGTTAGTTTATTTTGTTCATTAGATTTCACCTATAAGTGAAATCATATGATACTTGTCTTTCTCTGACTGGCCTTTTCTCTCTTCTTCCTCTTCCTTGTTTCTTTATCTTCTAAACAAGCTGAAGTTTTTTGAAGTGCTCTGTACAGTAGAACATGATTCTCTTGGACCCTCCCCTGGCCACAATCCTCATCCCCAGCACCCCATTTTAGAGCTGTAAGCTAGCCTTCTCCTCCAGACTCTGCTTAGCGTGTATCATGGCACACCTTTGTTTTAAATCTTTGTGTTTATGCCTAATATTCCCCTGCTAGACTGCAAGCTTCTTTAGGGCAGAATTCCTGTTGGGTTGGCTTGCTGTTCCTCTCTGATCCTAGCACAAGGCCTTGCCTTTAGGAGGCATTCAATAAATAATGCTGATAGAATGCATAATTATTCCTAGAAGGTGACAGATTCCTTCAGTGGCTAGGCGAGAGTGCTGGTGTGATTCTCAGTGCTGTAATGGGTGGCCTAATAAGATCATCCATCTAAAACCTCTTTGGTTTTGTTATTCATGGCATCTCACAATTGTGATTAGCCTTAAAGTCCACATAATGGGCCAAATCCCATTTAGTTCTACATCAGCCGTTCAAAAACTAGGCTGGCAAAATTATGAAGAGATTACAGTGTCCACATTCAAGGAGATTTTATTAATCTGCCTGGATGCAGTCCTGTAGCATATTGGCTTAAATATTTCGTTGATTCATTGAAAAAGTGATTTGAAGTGAAGTGTGTAAAAATGGCAAAAATAGGAATCTACGTGGTTTTATGTCCACATCACGGCATTACAAGTTGATGTAACAGAATTTCATGTTCAGCACAACATACATTTCAGAAAAGTAGAGACCCTCAACCTGAGAGGGACTCCTATGTGAGATATAAATGAAGGCCCCTTGGCTGGCAGGTATTCCTATGTTAGTAAGATATAAACGAGGGCCCCATGGTTTGGTCGGTATGAATTTTAGTAAATGCATGACCTGTGGTGATTTAAATGCCATAGGCAAGCTTGAAGGTAATGCTAACTACCTTCTCAAGAAGGAGATTAATTCCTAGCCCAAAGTATCTAGTTTTTCTTGGCAATGCTAAATGTAGCTATGCTCCCTCTCCCAGACATTTTGGGCATTTCAGATAAATGACATGTTGCCAATTCATCCTAAGTAGCCTGGTTGCTGGCAGAATACATGCTCAGCCAGTGTCCGCCTGCTGGGACACCAGCCGGGAGTGCTGATGAAGTGTCAGATGTATACTTCATATACATTAATCTGGAGAGGGGAAAACTCATTTTCCCATTTGCTTCCTCCATCTTTCTGTCCCTCCACACACACTCGGGTAGTTTATCAAAGAAGTCATAGTCATCAAAAGCAGGGGGGTTTAGACAGATGCTGGTTTCTGGCAACACATGGACATTTCAGGAGGCAAAAGCAGGACCCGCGGTGACTTACTTTTCTTTAGGAAAACAGGGCTGTGAGCTCTGATGGTTAAAGGTTAGAAATGGTGCGTGTGGTCATCAAAAGAATCATCCACTTCTTTTGTACTTTGGGGTAATAGATAGGTGGCAGAAACACAGTGAAAATTGGTTTTTAGTTTTTTCCTCCAATTTTCTGTGTGATTTGAATCATGAGACTTATGTTTTGTTTGTGTGAACATCCTGTCACATTCTTTCTTATTGGAGTTTTTATTGACCATCCAATTTGAAACTATTCTCATATTGTATGCTCCTCCACACCACCCCCCACCTCCGTGTTACTCCTTCACTTTTCTCCATAGCTTTAGCTCTTTCCAATAATCTACATAATTTACCTTATTGTATATCTCTCTTAATACTTAATGAGAGATTTATGAGGGTGAAAATATTCTTTGTTTTCCTAGCTACTCCTTCAGGTGCTCAATGCTTATTGAATGCATGGACATGTATGTTTCCTTTCTATCAATTTTTAGTACGCTAAATGGATTCCTGTTTATTTTTTGTCGTTTTAATCTGCGATTAACTTTTGGGGTTTATATTATTTATTCCGCTGAAGAAGCTATTCTTCAAGTCTAAGGCAAACTGAATTCAGTAATTAAACTATAGTTGTTTAGTTGGAAAATGAGAATGAGGGGGGGAAAAGCAGTGTGATTAGCAGATCAACTCTAGTTTCTACTACTTGTTAGCTGTGCGAACCTCAGTTTCTCCATCTGTGTAGTGGGTCTAATGGTTGTAGTAACCTCATAAAGTTACTGTGAGGATTAAATGAATGAACTTGTATGTGCTACTTTGCACAGTGCCTGTCACTCAAATGCTGGAGTCAGTGTTCCTGGGTTGGAAGGAAAAATGTTTCTTGGGGGTTATCAGCTGGGCATGGCTGAGATGATATTATCTGAAGGAAGGGAGACAAGCACTTACCTCTCAGGTCATTTAATTTCATTTTTGTCCTTATCCCTTGCATGATGGTGGATCACTTCGTTTCTTTCTTCCTCATTTCTACTCAAAATTCACCAACCCAACAAACTGGAAATTATCTTTCTAGAAGAGTTAACTTAATTGAGGCAAGGGCATGCTTTTAATATTGTTTTTCAACTTTTTAATATTAGGTTAAGTGATATAATTTTGTTTCTCCAGTGACCCTCTTCTGACATTGTATCCATTCCTTTTCATGGAAAATTTATGTTTCATGATGTACAATAAATATTAAAACCAAACTATTTAAACTAATCTATTCAAAGAGCCTTGATGAATATTCATATTTTCTGTTTGCCAAAAATGCATTATGAAGAGTCAGGGCAAATTCACTAAATGTATGCAAAAGTGCATTTTTCTTTTTTAATTCATTCAGAATGTACTGACATAATGTCAGCATTTATTTAGGCTAGAGACTTTATTTGCAGCCATTTAATATGATATCAATACTTCATTAGCCTTATAGCTCAAAAACAAAAACCTGAGCTGAAGTCCAATTAGTGAACTCTGAGAGAGTACCTGCTAAATATTGATGTTGGGACAATTTGAATGCCCTTGGATAAATTGCTAAACAAAAGTTGCAGAATACAACTATGAATTAACATCTCTCCTTAGCCATTATGACTCAGTTAGAAGGCTGCATAATATTCTAACATATGGGTTTCTCCCAACCTATAAAGCTATGTCACCCTTTAGGTTATTTTCAAGTTTTTCCTCTTGCAAATAATTTTTTTTTGTCACCTCTAATTATTTTTTCAGGGTATATTCTTGGAGCAGGATTACTTTGGTAAAGGATGTGAGGATAATGGAGCTTCCTCAGACTTTCGCTAAGTTGTTTCTTGGAATGCTCTGCACATTTATACGTCCATATATTGAAAAAGCATGTCTCCCTATACTCTGGCCAGCAGTCAGTATTGCCTTTCTCAATAAAACGTAACCTTGTTAGTTCATTAGGTGAAAATAATCTTTTTTACATCTATGGTTGATTTCCAGTGAAGTCAATATATTAAATGGACACATTGAACTTATACGCCAAAGCCCTCAGATAAAGCAAATATGAAACTGGGCTTTTCCACATTTCCTCCTATAACGTCTTCCTTCCGTTCCCTAAACCAGCTTATGGTAGCCACTGTGAATATCCTCCCCGGTTCTGGGGATACAGGAGCTGCTGAGTGTGATTATAATGCATTTAGGTGATGGCCTTATTCCACCATTCAACATTTTCTTTATCTGGAAAGTAGTAATCTCAATTGTGAAGTAGTGCCTTCAGCTGTGGACATTATACTTGGAGTCTCAGGGGTGCTGGTATTCCAGGAGCAATACATCTTTGAGTTATTACCCTCTGAGCTAGGTTCTGTTTATGGTGAAGGCATGAATTTTCATAACTCAGTGCTGAAATAGCGAAAGGGAGCCCTGAGCATATTATTACAGGTCAG